AATATATAGTAAGAGAAAGTATTGCGATACTGAAAATTTTCGAATCTGAGTTTTCAACGTATCACGTTTTGAGGTCTCCCGAGTCCCAATATCCAAGTCCCACAAAATTGTTTGCGTGTGTGTGAAAAGTCTAGTTCAGAAACCAAAAGTCGTACGAAACTGATACAGGCATGTATCAGGCTCGGATGTAAAAGCAACTCTTTCATGGAAACCAGCTAACCATTAGTTCCATTTTATATCATCGATTTTACATATTTATACAATTTTCTGAAAAACGGCTCTAACTATTAACGATAAAGGTTTTATCGTCATTGATGTTCTGCAACTGGGCGTAAATGTCTATTTTTTGAAAATTTCTTCCTCTAAAACACCTATAATTTTGTTTGTTTTAAAAAATTAACTATTACACACTACAGATAATGAACAAAAATGAGTGAATATAAACAGTGAAAAAAATTCATCATTGAGCTAAAGGAAAAATAAGAGATGGTATCCAGGGATCGAGAATAGAACTCGGGCTCGCTCGGAGTAATGGGGTGATAACGAGGAGCCTAGAACTGCCGAAGAAACCCGATCGCGTCCACAACCTTGGTCAACGAGTTCCGTTTATATTATTTACTTATACACACTAGCGGATCTTATTAAATCAAGTATGATCACAGGCGGATCTAGGGGGAGGGCTTTCGGGCTGTAGCCCCCCCCCCTCACTCTCCCAAACAAAAATGGTAAAATATAACCATGTTTTACAGAAAAACATTAAAAAATAATTCTTAAAGTATTCTTGTTAGTATAATTACATTTAATAGGACTTCAAGAACCACTTAAACACCATTTCATATATGTAGTTAATTTTTATATGAAAACAAAATCATTCGGGCTGAAGCCCCTCCCCCCTCCCCCAAATGGAAAAATATAACCATGTTTTATAGGAAACAAATTTTAAAAATACCTCTTAAAGTATTATTGTTTGTGTAATTACATTTAAAAATACTTAAGGAATAACTTGAACACCATTTCATATAGGTAGTTAGTTTCTTTCTGTTTTTCCAAAGTAATTATCGTTATTTTTATGAAAAAAAAAGGTTTCGGGCTGAAGCCCCCCCCCCAAATATTAAATCCTGGATCCGCTAGTGCTAGTGAGTATGATAATATCATATTTTAAAATGTTGTGTGCCTAGCAAATCTTTAATATATATTTTAGCCACAACGTTAAGTCAGTAAATAAGATGACTACAGTTACTTTTATTGAGACCGAAAATAGGACTGAATGTTTAACTTTTAATATCTTTTCGAATTTACATTTTATATCTGGACTTCTTTACTTTTTTCATACCTAGATTTGTGTTTATAAGATATCATTTTGCAAAATTGTTTCTGCTAAATTAAAAAAATATTTATATATTTCACATTTGTTACTTAAACGTGTGTGGGTACTGTATTTTTTAATTATCTGCTAATTAAGCATAAATAAAATATAGTAATTCAGATCCAGTTAACAAATCATTAAGTCATAACACCAATAACAAAAAATTTCAATATATATATATATTTATATTTTTTTTTTCTTTTCTTATGTACATATTGTGTGAATGAATAATATAGCCCTAGTACCAATGCCCTTCAGTGTGGCAGACTGTATTAATACTCAATAAAAGTTAAAAAAAAAAAAAGTTTTCATAAACGAATTTAGAGGGTTCAAATTGAGGTCAATCAGAGATTTTATTTTAACATGTATGTTAGAAAAACTATATGTTAGCTTCACTATTGGTTACTCCACTACATGGCATGCGATTTACAAAGGAAGATAACGAACCGTTTACCTTCCAAATCGGAGACCAAATCGTGCTGAAATAATAGATTAGGTCTTGAACTTGAATCAACTCTTGTTTTATCTCAAGCTAACAAGAAATGACGTCAGAATCGAAATTTAAAGTCATGAATTTTGTGCCTTGTTCTAATGAATTGCGTGGTTCATGATCACTTCGGTCACACTTGTCAATGAAACGCAGAAAACAGCGTTTCGGAAAAACACGAAGGCCTTCGGCACTCCATGAACAAGTGTAGACAAGGTGATTGTGAACCACGCAAAACCCGCGCGGTCCCCATCTAAATAATTATCATTTCTATTTAAGATTACTACATTGTAGATTATAAAACTCCTGGAATGTACTTCCATTTTAAATCATATAAAGTTCAATAAAATATAGAATGCAAAATATGCCAATTATATTTTTATTATGATAATATTAGAGAGATAAATTGCCGTTGGCGCCTCAAACGACATATGTGATAGGCTTATATAGCCGCCATTGTGATGAAACAAATTTATTTGGAACAATACCAGCCCACAATTTAGAAAGAACCAGACGTGGACTCTTTTTTTTTTATTTTAACAGTTATAAATATGGATAAAATTGAAAAATATTTTCTATATAATCCCAGCCTCAAATATTTCATTTAATAACAGTACTATAATCAATTAAATCCCGATAATATATTATAAAATATTGTAGGACTAATACCTAAATAATTAAAATACCATCTTTTTTTTTTTTTATTTTAGTTGGCTAATAAATCAACTAGTTATAGTGAATTCATAAAGCCTTAAATAGGATAAAAAGTAGCAAACCTCTCTATATGTCAGCAGTGTGAATATATTATTGAAAACTAAAACGAAATGTAAATATTTCACCATAGAAGTACGTTTCTTGAAATATGGAATATTTAAAACTGTAAGAAAACCGTTGAGTAGATTGAAGTCATTGAACTGATTTGTGAGCGTATAATTCGATAAATTGGCATGCAATAAACATTTTATAACGTATTATCTACTTACAGCTGAAGATTTCGACAGAGCTGTCTTCTCTCTTGAAAACACTATAAATAATCCACCATATTTTTAAAATAACCCATCTAATCGAACGACGGCAAATTTCACTATAACCGCCTTTAAATATCTAAAGCATAATGAAACAACACTTATTCACTAAAAAGAAACATAACTTTTAAGACACTTCTCACGTATTTAAAATAAAACCGACCTTTTAAAACGGCCACGAACCGAACCAGACTGAACCACATAATTCAGAGAGAAATATTCTGGCGGATGTTAGGGCGGATAATTCAGTTACAGAACTGTCTGCAATCTGATTGGCCAGACAAATCGCGCTATAGTCTAGGTACAATCCGTTTTTGTATAAAATGGAAATTTAATACCATAGACTTCTATATTCAATATATATTTAAGATCATTTAATAATATTCTTTTATATTATTCATTTCATAAAATATTGTAACTAATTAATTACTAATAAATTTTAATTTCTTATAAAACTTATTTTCAGAAAATTGTTTACTATAATATAATAAAGTGTAAAATATTATTTGGTAATGAGTTATAAAATTTATACATGGGTTACTTAAAAACAATTTTAAATATTTATATATTTTTTATAAATCTTGTTATATAAATATTAATAATATTTTTTGTAAATATAAAATATTCTACATTTATTTATTTGACATTTACTGTTAAAAAGGTTTTCCATATTTCTTTATTTAAAATGTATTAAAATTATTGTCTATTATGTTCTTATATATTATTTCACCCTATGAACGCTTATTCCTTCTTATCTTTGATTTAGACATCTTATTTACTTTACAATAATATATTTTTAATCTATGTTTAACTATTTTAGATTTTTTAAATTCAATTTTCTACGATGTTTGACTATTCAGCAGAGGTGCCCCTCAAGACATACCAATACTGTGGTTATTGCCTCCATTTGAAAAAAGGGCTTCAGACCCAAGAGGAAAAAAGGACATACAAAGGAGCAGCATGTTGGGGTCCTGATTTTGGCAATTAATAAGACACCCTCAAAAAATATAACGAAGGATACTGAGGGTCACGTCCCCTTCTCCTCATTTACATCTTTTCTCTCAGTGAAGAAGTAGGGATTCCTATTTTCATCATGATGGTAAATGTCTATTGCATAATTGTTTAAGATTTTTGTATTTTTTTAAATAAATAAAAGAAAAGAAAAAAACTCAATTAGGTAAATGTCATTGGAATTACGGATAAGAAGTGGTTTGTGTATTCAAAGTTAATAGATATTTTCCTACCCATAACCAATTATATCACAAAATTTATCTTATTTATTGCATTAATTTAAATTTCTTGATTACTCATATAACCCACAATTGATCAAAATAGTATCAAATAAGCAATCTTGTTTTTTGAAACAGTTATTTGCTTGGATTCATCATTTTTGTGAGTCACCAATAAAAGTTATCTGGGGGGGGCCAATATAGGGCCAATCTGATCTTAATTGACAAATGTGTGTTGTTGAATGTTTAATACACCGTTTTTAAAATCTAAACAAACAATAAAACAAGATTTTATTAAATTGAACCTATAGTTTCTGACCTCCAAAATTAATGTCATCAAATGGGTATATATATTCAAATATTAAAAACAATAACTGGATTATTATTGAGTTGAAAACTTAATTGTATCACATTTCTGTTTCAGACTTAATTCAAACTATTATTTATTTATTTCAGAAAACATCATTTCAACCAGTGTACTTTTTATAATATAAACCTGATAGTATATTTAATAATTTTTTATTAGAATATTGAAATTATCTTTGAAAATCAACCAATTTCATCAGATTATCGTACTATGTGTATACTTTGATTTTTCCAATATTTTAATAAGAATTTCTACAGCCTAGAACTGTAGCTAAGGACAGAGCGGCCAGGGAACTTACTAAGGCATTTTTAAAATTATGAATATCAGATCAACTGATTATTCAGGACAATCAACCATTTACCCACTAATATATTTTTAATTGATTCATTTTCAACTGCATTTTATGAGATTTATCTTCTTTAAATCGTTAAGCAGGCACTTTCCAAGTGTGATCCTCAATTAAATTAATACTGATCTGGAATCCCCTTACTGGCAAAGGCATTAAAGGGAAACATTTAGTATTTGTAATAGTTTTAAAAATTATTTTATTTGGAAGTTTAATCACATCTTAAAACACTGAACTAAATTACTGTCATAAATAGACACAGCAAATAAGGAACCAGAGAGGGTAAGAAATCTTCCTCCAACAAGCATGCAATCCTTTACTTGGGAAGAAAACCTGTGAACTACGACCTGAAAAAGAAAAAAACAATTCTTATTATTGCTGATCAGATAAATCATATTTATTAAATGCAAACAAAAAGTGTTAACTATTGTATATCAGTATGATTTTATTACTGCTTTAGAATAAGAGAACAACATATATCCTAAGTATCTGTTGAGAAATTTTGTTCCAAATATTGAAAATGTTGGGAAACTAAATTCCAAACCCCTCCTCCTCATAAAAAAAAATTTTGTTATTGCAATGTCCCTGATGAATAAGTGTTTTATAGTTAATGTTTCGACTCATTACAAAGTACACTTAAAATATTTTAAGAGTATGAAATAACACAATAGTGTCATCTTTTCAGTGCTTAGTGTCTAGAAATACATTAATCTGGGGCTAGCATTAAATCGATCCCAGGGTTTTTTTAACTTTAGGAACCTATGGTGATTTATTTAAATAATAGACAATCTTGTTTCCTACTATATACTCTCATAAATAAATATTTTATTTTGTACTAGTTGGGAAAACTTTGTCCTCAAAAATAATGAAAGATTGTGAGCATAGAAAACATTAGGATATTAGCACATTCCAACAACTGCATAGGTCACTCAAATATCGACTTAAGGGTCTACATTTCCAAGTCCCAAACCAACTTTTCAAGATTAACAAATAAGAATACAAGAGCATTTCTTGGCCTACCACTAATCAAGAAAATATTCTCAACTATTAACCCAGTACTAAAACTGTGAAATAAATATTCTTAATTCTAAATAATCAAATATCTGAATTTGATAGGAATTAATAAAAATATTTATAATTCTGAAGAAAAAAAAGAATTTTTTTTTTATGTTTATAAACTATTGATAATAATCATTTCAATTTAAACAATTGTATAAATATTAATATTTGTATTTTTAAAAATATTAAACTTACTACATTATCTTGAGTTCCTGATATTTGCCAAACTTTTGCAAACGAATCCTCTGAAACTGACAAAACTAAACCGGACTCTGGGGCAATATCCAATGCGGTGATCCATTTAGCATGTGCTGCAATTTCAATAGATAAAGTTACCTCCCTTCTTCGATGATCTACAGAGAAGACTCTTATGTGACCAGAACCGTAGGCAGCGACCACTAGTCCCCGCCATACTTCAACACTGGTACATGCAGATCTGAAAGTTTACAGTTAATATATTTCTGATCAAATTGTTACAATTTTTGAAGGATGAAAGGAATAATTCATGGCACTGGTACAACCAACCAAAATACAGAAAAGTCTTTCAAGACTTTTATTTTATTATTTACTTAACATACTCCCCATTGAGATAATCAAATCAATAGTATGGTTGAAAGAATTTATTTGAAATCAAACTAAATGCAAAAGAAAAAAATTTATTCTTGAAATCATCAAAAGTGTAGATCTTTCAGTGGCTTGAAAATTGGATACTCATTATTTTTAAACTGACTAAAGTCTTTCCTTTATTTAATTCACTCTGACTAATTCCATAATCTTATCGAAAATTCATCGAGCTTTTCCCATTTTATTATGTCTAGATCATCTAAAAGTAAGACTTTTTTTTTGTGTCTTATAAAATAAAAGATGTAACAAATAGAAAAATCAATTAAATTAAAATGAATATTATTACTCACCCATAACTTGTGATCTCAGCCCATTGAATCATTTCATCAGGAGTGATCGACCATAATACGATTATTCCACCATCGTCACAAGATGCCATCATTTCTTTAGAGCATGCCAAGTCTGCTATTGGTGAAGAGTGAGCCTGCTTCCTATCGATGAATATCATGCCGCCATCATCACTCATTCCAAAAAGTCTCACTACTCCACTGTTATTTCCTTTAAATAGACAAAAAATAAAGCTGAGGACTTAGAACTATGTATCTCAAACTCACTATCCATCCATTTATTTTTGTTTCTCCTTCAGCACCAATCAAAAATGTTGTATACATTCCATGTGATATGAAACGATTGTAGTAGAAAGTTAGCATTCTATTAAAACAACTTTTTTTGTAACTCCTAATACTTTACAGCATAGTAAGCCAATGTGTGTTCAGCTGTTTTATCTCAAAATTATAAAATCATTACTAACTTAATATTCATAATCTCTCTTAAAATATTTCAGATTGCCAAATTTAACAGTGAATATCCTCCTATCTTAAGCAATACTATCACACAGAATACACTTCTGTTGTATAAAAGTCTTGGAAATTGCATATACATCTTTCATTTTTCTCATCATTCCAAATATTTTTTTTTCCGATATCCTTAAATCAGATCTAAATAATAGTAAAAAACATTTACCCACGCAGAGGTAGTCTCCAGGAGGATTAGCCAATCCACGTGCAAAGTGCTCTCTGCCTCCAGGAGAATCTTTACAGGGATGAGAGAAGCGAAGGCTGAGAGAAGAGCAGTCGAATACTTGTAATCCCGACATTTGAGGCAACCACTAAACAAGCTTCGAAGTTCAAATAGCACCACAACACCTTGAAGATGTAATTCATAAATATCAAATAATTAAACTTTTGTAAACAAATAATAAAACAGATCGATGATAGTTATATAAAACTATATAATTTATTATTTTAATAATTTTCTTCTTTAAGAGTTTTTTTTAATACTGAAATTTCTGAAATATAAAGTTTAAATAACCATACAAATAAATATTTTTATTTTTTTCAGATAACAGTAAACACTTTCCCTTGTACAGCTTATTCTCATCTAGCAAAATTTTGTAACATATATTTTTTATTTAATTTCCTTTTAAATCAATATTCTATAAGACTTAAGATTTTTAAACATTCTATAACGTTAAGTTTCATATAATATTAATACTTAATATAGTAAATATCTATTAAATTAATTCTTGAAGGAAAATTACTCTTCATGAGACCCAAATATTCATAAGATGAAAATAATTTTCACTTTCTGGTTTCTAAAAACTCTTTCATTTACATAATTTCTCTTTCTGAAACTGTCTCATGTAATTTATGAAGAAAAGGATTTAGCTAAGTAGGACGAAGTAGTTTTTTATGCATAAAGTTTCTTATATTGAACAATAAAATATTATTAGACTGATTGTCACCCATAAACTTCCAGCTTATTCCTGGGAGACCACAAGACCAAATCATTTTATTCACTAATTAGAAATAGATCTGCATTTGTAAATATATTCATTTATTTTTATTTGTATGTGATTACAATTACAAAAATAACTCACTAAAACTTTGAAGATAACTACAAACAAAAAATAAAAATTTTTGGATAAATAAATTCTTAATCTTATTTAAAAATATTAATAATATTAAAATTTAAAATAATAAATAAAATTGTTTTTTAATATTAATATTGAACATCGCCTATTATTGCTGTACAGTAATGATAATTGATTATCACTGTTAAAGATAGAACATCTCTGTAAAATGATGTAACATTGCAAACAGTTTTGCTCACCTGATGGACAGTGGCAGAATATCTCTCTGCACTATCTGTACAAGGAATATACTGAGATGTGGAGTCGACTGACCTAAAAGGAATAACGTTAATGTAGCCGCCATGTATAACACCCACTGCTTCTGATATACGTGAAGGGTCAAGCAATTTACAACTCAAATTGTTGGGAAGTGCTGAGGCTGTGGCGACAAGCAATAGTGTTCGATCTTTCTCATACATCTGTAATAATGGTCTTCTTGATTAAATTTACTATTTAACAGTGTTGAAATTCTTTTTAAAATGTATGGTAGTTTGTATTATCATAATATAAAAATGATAAATATGCCTCAAGAACTAGTAATTATAAAATTAGACTCTTAAACAATATTAAGCTTGCACATCATATTAATATACAAATATTAAAGACAAAGATACTTCAAAATATTTTATTAATAAGAAAAACATAACACAGAATTTCTTATTAAAAATTATGTTATTTTTAGAGGCAAAAAAAAGTGGCCGTTCTTTCCCAATATCTGGAAAATGTTTGAGTAGACCAGACCTGTTAAACCCTTTTTTCATTTTATAGAATTGATTATTAATATTTAATCTAATTATATTGGAACTAGGATTGTCACAATAGCCAGAGGGGGTATGGATTAGCATAAAAACTAAAGCCAGTATAATATTATATTTAATAATTAAAATTACTAGCTAATTAGAGATTTAAAAATTTCCGACCATTGGCAAATACAAAGGTATAAGTTTCATAAACATAAGAAAACAGGCTACGGTCCAATTCACGAAATGTGAGGAAGGGCGCCTAAAACCATCATGACGATCCGATTATAACACTTCACAAACTTAAATGATTGTCCGGATGAAAGAATACTTGGTTCCCCTATATCATATAATAGCCATAATGAATGCTAAGATTTTTGTGAGAAAAAAAAAGTGTATTCTTTAATTATTAATTTACATTGTATTAATAATTTTTATATAATAACCTCTGTTAATCATTATAAAATACTGAAAATTAATTAATAATTAGTTCAATAGAAAAAAAAAATTTAATTCTTTTTTTTTGTCACTACTTTTTTTTTTTTAATTTTTAATGTAATGCCTTATCTATGTCATCAATCATGGAGTAAAAATGAATAATTGTTAAATATTTATATTTCAAACATATATGAGTTTTTAATAAATCTATTTTTTACAATTCTAAATGAAATATTGGCAACTTTCAAATAAAAATGAAATATAATTTATAAATCTTAAATAACAAATCCTTGCCATGAAAACTAATTTTTATAAACAATAAATTAAACTAAGAAACAATATCAGTGAGAGAAGTCACTTACCTTGTCAGCTAGAGGTCTGTTTATGATTGGGTTCCCATGGGCACCGGTTAGTTCTAAATTCATTCATATGAGTAGGCAAACCTGACCATTTCCAATTCTCTTAAATTTGTAAATAGCTGACCTTCTGTTGAATAAACTTAGTAGTATCCAACATTTATGTTTGTCGAAAACAAATTTTCAAATATACATAGTATTTTTTGATGCTCACATTCTATTTTAAAATATAGTTTGCAATGGAGAGAATATTCTTTAAAAAACTTAATCTGTCAAATATAAGTTATTGTTTAAAAAAATGTATAAATAAATAAGTATATATCTATATGAACAAGGCTTTATTTATGCAGTATGCAATGCTTTGTTAAATAAATATTCCATGTAAACACTAAATGTTATTCATCTAAAACAATTTTTGAATGAATATATTTATTGTTGTTTATTTACTATCATGAATACGTTAAAAAATTTAAACGGATTATATAAAAAAAAAATCAACTGAAAATCTTATGTCAAATAAAATCTGCTTCCACTACTCTCATTCCACTTTATACAGGGTTTCTTAGTTCTTAATGGTCAAACTCTGGTGGTTTGATTCTAGAGAAAATTTCTAACAAAAAAGTTCATTTGATGTATTGGCCGATTCGGAATGGAAAAGGAGTTAAGATCAATTTTGTGTTTTTGTTATGGTAGTCATGGTTTTTATTGAATAAGAAGGAAATGCTGAAAAACTGTTAAAGATAATTAAATTTTTAGTTCACCATCGTAAAGTAGACACATTTTTTGGGAAAAACAGTGATTAAATTTAGTAAGATCAATCATAAAAAAAAGACTTTTAAATTTAAGGTCAATGATAAAATAAACTTTCAGGAGTGAAATGGCCGCTGTACTGCTACAGTTACAACACCCAAACACGAGCAGCATGTCTCTGTACAGCGGCCATATTAGACCTCCTGAAAGTTCCATTTATCATTGACCTTAGTAAATATGATCACTGTTTTCTCAACAAAAATTTATCTTCTTTACAATGGTGTACTTAGAATTCAGTTATCTTGGACAGTTTTTGAGCGATTCCTTCTAATTCAATTAAAACCATGACCTCCTTAAGGAAAACAGAAAATTGGTCTTAACTCCTGCATAATTCAAAAGTTCTTATTTTTCAGAATATGCATCTGAAGTTCGAAATACTGCGTTAATTTCTATGAAATTACAATAAATAAACATTCAACTCAATTATCTCAAACTGAAAATCACAGCTCTGAGAATTAACTGGATTCATTGTTTAAGCAAGCATTAATAAGACTAAAAAGATTTGTTTCATTATTTGTGTATATTTCGGGCATAAATTAAAGGCATTCCCTCTATCAATTGGATAAGATGAATCATATGTAATCCAGAAAACCAAAATTTAAATAGCCTAATGGGGCAAATAACATACATCTTTATTTGTCATTTTAACAATATTTTTTATTATTCCTTATACTTTGTACAAACTCACAATATCCTGCCCTATAATGTACTTTAATAGTTTTCAACTCGTAAGCTGTATCCTGGGGAAAAGATCCTCAACCCAGGACCTCATCTGCACATGGAATCCTCTTATAAGATTGAAACAAAAAACTGCTCATGGATTCTTATTTTAACATTTCCTTGATGGAAATACTAAAATTTTAATTTATTAAAAAAAGCTCGTATACCTTACTATTATCAGGACTATATAAATATATAAATGGATATATAAAGTTAAAATTAATGGTTCTATGAAATTCCGCCCATAATGCTCCTTATTATAACACAAATTTGAATATCCATAATGATCTTAATATTCATTAAGTTGAAGAATTGAATAAAAATAAATAAAGGCCCTTTTATCATAAAAAACAAACCCAATATTTCATAACTTGTCATTCTAATCTACTTCCAATAACCTAAGGCATCCAAAAGGAAGATGGCTATGAGACCTCTTAAAATTGAATTGTCGTAGAGCTACTAGATAACTTTTTTATTCTTCACTCACTGCCCAGTAATAATGATTTATCAATATATTTACTTGTTTCTAGCTTTGTTGTAGTTGTAATTTCAATGTATAATTAAAATATTATCCTCCATATACCATTTATAGGTTTATATAAAATTGGAAAAGGTACAAACACTCCACCACTACTACCAAGTTCTTTAAGTACAAATTAAACCTTACAACAACAAAACTTTAAATTTACTTAAGATAAATCAATTAGATAAATTTTAAGAACAATAAATCATTTTTTATATTGTATAGGTGTACTTAATTAATGTTTAATATTTATACAGAAATCTCACTCCATATTCAGATTCCTTATACACTTGAATTATCAACACTCTCATTACAGAACTTTTAATTAATCTTATTCAAATGGTAATTTTTATTGACTATTAGTAGAATTTTACCATTAATAACAAAAATAAAACATATTAGTTAATTTCTGTAATATTTGATCCTGCTATGCAGGCATTTAAGGGCAGAAGCAGTATATGAAGTCTGGCACTGGTTCAGAGACTTTTGGGCGGAATCCCCCAAAATGGACAAATATTTTTTTTTTATTAGTCCATATTTGTTTACGTGAACAAAGCTAAACACTCGAATAACCACAATATGTTATCTTTTTAGATTATAACACACATACAGCAACTAAAAGTAAGCGCATGTAAAAAAAAAATATATATATATATATATATATATATATTAGAATTTATCTCTAAATGCATTTTTTTTTTTCAAGCACTACTTTATCATCATTTTGTATAGTTAGTTTTTTTTCTTGTAGAGTAATTAGTTACCAAAAATAAAAATAAAATAAGCCCTTTCCCTAGATGTGTTAGGGTATGTTCCATAATAATTTTTTTACCTAAATTGCATGTCACCAAATTTTATTTTACTTCTTTACTTTGTTTTTTAAATTACCACAAATCTAGTCTATTCATAATTAATAATTCATGAGAGCAATCATGGTAACAAGGTTAGACTGAGAATAATATAGAAAATATAAAAGAAATTGTGCTAGAACAGAGGAAGATTTGTTGAGCAACAATCTTAAAAGAAAATCTAGTCAAATAATTCAATTATTGATTAATTAAGTAAAGATTAATTAGTTAAGTAAATCGGATCTCACCATGAATCCTCGGGCTTTTCAGAAATTGGTATGTGGAGAAAAGTGGAAGATCGAAAAGCCATATGCATGCTTCATCGTATCTTTTGGAATGACTGAATTTTAAAATAAAACAAATAAAGGATATACCATTCCATCGCAGAACCAATCCTAATATATGCAGCTGAAACCTGGATCATGTCATCCCAGTTCTATTCAAAGGTAGAGGCTTTAGAAATAGACTTGTGGAGGTGATGCCTATGAGTGATAAGGATGGATAGAATTAGGAACAAGATCGTCAAGAACAGGATAATCTGAGAATTGGATGGCGAAGGCTGATGTGGTATGGCCATGTAAGACGAAAGATCTACTGAATGATGTCCTAACCAAATTCTTGGTTCAAAACTACTGGGAAGATGAGGACCCAGAAAAAAGATACATAAAGTGGAACAGGAGATGGCTTGCTGGGGTCTTCAGGTTGGAGATTGGCTTGACTGCGACCTCTGGAGCTTAGCTCTGGTATAAAAAGGCATCCTTCATAGGAACGTCTACATAATATAATATAATATAATATATATTTTTTACAACCTACTTTCTTTAATTAAATTATTTATTTATTTTTATTTTATTTAAATATCTCATTTTTACTTTTACTTACCTATATATGTAATATATAGTAAGGGTAAGTACTGCAATCGTGAAAATTTTGGAATCTGAGTTTTCAACGGAAATACACGTTTTGAGGTCCCCTGAGTCCAAATAACCAAGTCCCACAAAATGGTCTGTTTGTGTATGTGTATCTGTGTGAACAGCCTAGCTTAAAAACGAAAAGTCGTACAAAACTGAAATTGCGTATTTGAGGTTTTTATAAGCCTTGGATGTTACAACATTTTTGTCAAAATAGGCAAATCGGAAGTGGTACTTTATATAATCAATTTAACAAATGTTTACGATTGTCTCATAAACGCCTGTAACAATTTTGATTAAACTCAGTATATCAGTGTATTGTTAAACAGTTTTTAATATAATGTAGGTTTTATTTTCATTGATATTCTCTAACAGGACTAAAACGGCTAATTTTCAATATTAGCTACCTCTAAAGTATCTTAAATTTTTTTTATTTGAAACAATTGACCATTTTACATTGATCTTTAATATAAAAGATAGCTAAATATTAGATATGAAAGAATTTCATAATTAACTAAAGGGGAAATAAGAGATCATAACGGAGAATAGGTGTAATTGAGGAATCAAGCAAAATTAGTGCGCCCGAGCTCACCCGAAAGATTACAACAGGCTTCCATACATAACATGAGCTTAATATTAATACTCCAACAATATTTTGTACATATATATATATATATATATATATATATATATATATATGGGGTTTTCATAAATGCTATCGTTGGTGTAATTTAATATTTAATTGTATAGAATTCAACTATATACAAATTAAAATTTGTATATACAAGGGTATTTAAACAAATAAAAATACCCACAATGAAATGTAAATAAATATAGTGTCCATAATTTATACTTTGACTTCCCCTTTATCTGAAAATACTAATTTATATTAAGAGGGTAGTAAGAGGAAGTCGTGTGATGCACGCACCAGATTTTTTTAAGAAGATATATAACAATTTTTTATATTTTAAATTTTGTTTAAATATGTAAAAAACTTGTAAAAGATGCATAAAAAGCTTGAAAGTGGACTTGATAGGACATGTAGCAGCTATAACAACCATAGAAAAAGAATTTATATTACAAAATATATACAAAACATTAATATTAAATAGTTACAATATAAATATATAAGTATTTGCTACATTTTTGGTTTTTTCTTCTTTGGCTTGGAAGGAGGTGGTCCAGGAGTTTTAAACAGTGCACTAAAAAAAAAAAAATATTTTGTTTATGTTTCATAAAAATATAAAATTACTATCAAAAAGTAGAAATAATAAATTATACTTACTGGCAGGTTGTGCAAATTGGGCTGAATTTACAAAATACTGTAAAAAATAAATAAAGATTAATAATACTAATTATTGAGTGATTAATCCAGTGACACTATTAATTAATTATTATCACCATTAATTTACAGATTGAAACTGTTTTATAGGTAAATATTACAATGAAGCTCAGTTAGGTTACATAATTAATCATGGTAAATTGTCACATTCAAACAATAGATAAAAAATAAAATATATTTGGTCATTCATAAGTATGGGTATATTTATGTACAGTATTTACAATTAATCTGAAGATCTCAAAACTAAGATTCTTCCAGGCAAGAAGAGAAGAGCAAATATAAAATTTGATATAGAAGATATCAGCCTTTCTAACACCAAACCACTGTATTAAAAGATAATGGAAAGTTTGATCTTTGAGGATTGTATGACCGGAGAGGTTTGAAATAAATAAGCAAGATTCTTACAAAATTTCAAAAGGTATGAGATATTAGTCAATCTTACTATGTTAGTTAAAAACACAGAACATACAACCCACAAAAAATGTTAATTTATCATGATTTATATAATAATCATATTTTCAAATTATTGATTTTAAATTAATAAGCAATTATTGCAGGTTTTCTCAGGAAGACACAGTGGTCGAGTGAGATAAGGTGCCTGCAAAAATTGTATGCTACAAGTTTAAATCCCATTCGCAGGATTAAATAACAAAAAAAAAAGACCTAAAGAAAGAATGAAAAAAGTTCCTACTCGATTGCTAAGACCACTACGGTGAGGGTTCGATTCTCGCATGGGGACGGTAATGTCCCCAATCATTATAAGATTCATAGGAAGGTGAAAGCGACCCCTGTGTCTAATAACATAGCTCCTTTGGTCCTCCAGATGTGGGGGTTGGGCACAGGGCTAGTAACCCCATCCCGTAAAAAAAAAAACAGGACAGACATGTATGAAAAGGTTGCCAACCATCCTGATGAAGAGGGAGTGATATGATCGCATTTAGTTATTATAAACCACATGCTCCCTGGATATCATCTACATAAGAAGAAAACCAAACAATTACAGCTCATCGCCTAGAACAGTCCCTTTGCTGCGAGAAGACTAATGGTGGAAGTCAAAAGAGTCAAGAAGAGTTAAGGAAAAAAAAATGAGGTTTTCTCAGTAAGGTACTCAACACCATTTACCAATTTTTTCATAGCATAATGTTAAGATAAAACCTGTGGTCAGTCAATTATTTACTTAATGGAAAGAATATATTTTAAGAAAACTTACTTGAAAGACAAATAGAGCAAACATAGCCAATGTCAATCAGCTGCCTATGACAAAAACAGGCTGCTCGATAGTCAACTTTGACTGGAGGTGGAAGCACTAATTTTTTCCTCAATGGTGGTTCAGGAAGGAAAACCCACTGAAAAAAAAAGTAATTAATATATATATATATATATATATATATATATATATATATATATATATATATATATATGCATGTATGTATTTCATTGAGATTATTAATCATAAATAAAAACCTGTTGAAACTTCATTAGAAATTTTTTTTTTTTAATTTCCTTATCTGTCTTCAATCTTCTGACTTATGCATTGTTTCATTAGATTTATCTTTAGGCCACCCAGGCATATTCCCACATCTGCAGTTGGTTTGTAACATTAAAGTGGCTTTATCCTGATTTCCAACAGCAATATTTCCCAGGTCTATATTTTTAGCAATTCTTTAAAACAAAAAAACACCTTACATCCTTGCTCTTACATACACTCTTTTAACATGAGATCCCAACCCAAAAACCAGTATATTCCTTCTCATGGAACTTCTTCCTTCAACTTATAAAATTCAATGATAAAACAACTTTTACCATGCCAATTATATAGTTTTATAATTCCTTACCCACTTTCATACCAAAAACGTAATATTTCATCATCTCCCCAACATTTAATCTTCCAAATATATGTAATAATTAAATTTTCGTATTTAAGTATTGTCAGCCTCATTTTACTGTTATTTCACAGGTATCTTTGTATTATTTATGTTGCTAATCAGAACAAATAGGTACAAAATATCTATTTATCTATATATATATATATATATATATATATATATATATATATATATATATATATATATATATATATATAAGTCTTATGAGTATTATTAGTTTATGAGCCGCTAATTCTTACCCATCTATTACTTTATTGTTATCATTAATTTTATTCTCATGGTTAAACATCTAATGAGATTTTTTTATCGTAATTTAATTACGGTAATCAGAAATGACGGTAAGATATAGACATGGTAGATCAGCCATATGATTCCTATTTTTTCTAGACCAAACTATCAGTCCGATGTTCAGTATGTTACTTCCGATGTTCAGCCATACTTAGAAGGTTGAATAAGCCATTTCCTCTAAGAACTTAGCCTTCTTGGAAAATAATTTATAATATATACTTATAGAAATTGAATATTATACTCATGGCTTAAATCATAAATGCTACCTACTATGAACAAAGAGACCACCTTAATCTTAAAATATATTAAAAAATAAATTTATATTAATAAGTTTTTCGTCTTCAATTTTTTTTTTTTTTGAAGATTTGAAACAATTCAATCAAAATAGAAGCCATTAATAGAATAAAATTATAAAAAAATACAAAGAATATTTGAATATAAGTTAGTACTACCATCAAATATTGGAGAAGACCTTGCTGTTGGGGCGTTTTTAGATACGCCCCTCCAGTTATATCACAGCCTTGCTGCAGGAGTCCTTGATCATGTTCCAAAGTACACACATCCATCACAACATTCTGGAACAGAAAAGATATTTTTCATCTAATTCCTTAATCAGTTTCAGTAGCATATCCAGGAAATATTTTTTGGGGCTAACACCAGAAGTGTGGAGATAGAGATAATTCACAGCAACAGGAGGGTCCTCCGTTAAATTTTATTATATTAAGCTAGTGGTTTTGATAAGGGTCAATTTATAATGTCAAAAACAAATATGAAAAGTATTTCTCAGATAACTTATACTGTTGGCTTGTATGATTTTTTATAATAATAATACTGTTTTTTTTTTTCAACACTCATTATCCCTTACACCCTTAACGATGTGTGGCAACAATGTATGAAAAAACAAAACAAATAAAGATATTTGATGCAAAATTATGGCAAATAGTCAAATAGAATATCACAAATGAAATAAGATTAAAAAAAAAATTTTAGTTATGCTTTAAAAAGAAAACATAATAGAATCGTTTTAGTATTTGTCTCAGAAAATTTATAGAAACTAAAATCAACCATTTTTCGGGAAAAGAATCTTCCTTGAATTGTTTAGTGACAAGATTGCATTATATTTAAACATATACTTTGTAAAAATAGCCAAACAACCACAAGTATGTAAGTAAAAAAAAAAAGATATATTTTATTAAAAACAGTAAGTGATTGCTATATTTCTTGATCTAAACAGTTTTATTTTTAATTAATGCTGGAACTAACCAATTTTATTAACGCAGAATAATAAAATTATTATAGTTGCCTAAAACAACCTATTTTCATTGGTGAACAGCTCCAAGATGAAGAAATATTTTTGTTCTATTAGTAATTTTTAATGAAGCTTTATGAATTTAAATACAAGCTCTGCGCATAGATCAAATAAAAAAAGGTGTTAGCACACGTTTGTTAATAAACAAAATTCACATACAATAAACTTCTTACTGAATATTATTTTTATATTCCTTTGTTTTATAATTTAAAATTGAATAAATAATTATCTAATTTAAGTAATGTTAAAATAGTATAACTATTACAAACATTCATACAGGAGACCGAAACATGGTGGCTTGGAAGCTCACCACACAAATAGAAACCTTGTACACCTACATCAGTTCGGCTTATCAATTTTAAAAGATTAATTTCTTTAAGGGAAACTTATCTTTTAAAAACTGCTTACCTCTTTTTGAGCTGTAAAAAACACATTCATATAATTCATATACTGAGAAGCACTATCATTACTTCCAGTAAGAACCAGGATTCTGGAATTCATTTTATCACCAATAGGCAGTTCTCTTTTCATCCTAAAACCATAAATATTTTTATTAATATTAATTAATTATATAAATGTTGGATTTAAGCAATAGGCCATTAGATCCCTAATATTCGCCTCTAATTTATAATTTTACGATGTTTCAGCTAAACTTAAGTCATTCTAAAATCTTATTTATGGACATACAGAGCAGAACTTTGGGATTCGGCAAAACAAACACACATTAATAAAATACAAACAACACCATAAATAATTCTACAAAAAATTGTCAACGCACCATGGCAAATTTTAAATAACACTCTACATAACAACTTAAACATCCCAACAGTAAAATCATACATTCATGACAAATACACTTTATTTCATTCTTCTACTCTCAATCATCCAAACCCACTCGTTCTGTCTCTTTCTTCCTCCCTGTTGCCTGATCAGACTAAAAAGAAAAGGGCAAGAGACCTACTCCTACAATAATAACTAAATTAAGTTAATCAAGCAAACTCGCAGTAAATGCCTAATTCATCAAATTTGCTAGGCGCGCTACAACGCAGATGCAAATGGCTTAAAATGTTAAAATAAAAAATAAATAGAAAGACGGGGATGGATTTTTTTATAACATGTATGCTATTATTATTATTAAAGTTTCAATTGCTTTATTAAAAACAAAAAGTCATCTCATAAAAAACATTTTGAGTCTACCATCTGCCATACCAGGTTTACATATAGGGATGGATTTTTTTCTAAATAAGGCTTGAGAATGAATCCAGATTAGCTTAAACTTCACCAAATTATAAAATAAAGACTAATATTGGCAAACTATTGCCCAATTGCTTAAACACAACATAATTAATGCATCTAAAATAGGAATTATGGAAAGAAGATTAATTATATATAACTATTTGCAGCAGTATAATCCATAAAAATAAAACGATTGTAGCTAAGGGAACAAATATCAGAATTTTAAATATAATTTTACCACTAATTGGTAATAGTTTTTTTTTTTCTGTTCTTTCCTACCTCGCCTTTTAGGCTATACGGGATTTTCGCGTGCCGGGGGTTGAGGGCGGGGAATTTAAAATCCTCTCCGGCACCGGGACGCGAACTCGTAATTTTTTCAATCTTCTCAAAACTGTAATCCGGTTGCCAGGCAACTCGCAGTGCTGTGCACACACTTTAGCCTATTCGGCCACCCTGCCCTTGTTTTTGGTAATAGTATTACAATCCTAGTATTATTCAGTAAGTTTTAAACATTTCCTCAATAATTTAGGAAGAAAAAATCAATCTCCTGAAACTACTACTTCCTAATAGAATAATTGTAATGAACAGAAATGGTAAGAAAGCCTCAAAAATTACTCCTTTAAATGCTCTGCCTGCTAATAGCCCGGTAACAATGACCACACCCACACCACTCTCTGTCCACATATACGCAAGCTGCATTCTGTCTCCTAAAAGTGACCCAAGTAATGGCCACACATGGGACAATATGTCTATATCTGAAATATCTTGCTAAATATCATTTGCCTCAATCTTTTTGATACTTCTCATATTTCTTCAGCCATACATCCTGTAGATCAACAAGAAAGGGATTGTATCTATGCGTACACATACATCCTCCTTCCCATGTGCTGCCATCAGCAGTTAAAATGTTAAGTAGGAACATTTCTTCAATATAATTTGATTAATAAAATGTTTACTTCTATTAAACTAATTTATGATAATTTTAATAATAGAAAAAAAAAGGAAAGGGTAACTCAAGGGGCAAGGGCAAAAGGACATATGGTCACACTGTTTGTGGAATGAGAAAGAAAGCCTGCAGCACCTTTCTTATAGCACGTTCTTTTAATCAACATAAAAAATTAAACAAAGCAGACTGGATACATTGTTCTGGAGATATAAATACAATTTAATTTCTTAAGTAACTGAATCATCCGGAATTCACAATCACTTTGGTCACACTTGTTCATGAAATGCTGAAAACAGTTGAATGTTGCTGAATTTTATGATATCAGTATTTTGTCCCCATCACCCAATCCTGTTCGACACATTTTTCATTCTCAACATAGAACTTGCTGAATGAAACAACTTTATTTTTCTCTATTTTGGGAGAGGGCTTCATACCGAAAGTCTTCTCCTCTTTCCCACCTCGATCAGATCCACTATTGAGTTGGTCTATATAGTCCAAAGGCCCATGCTTAGATTCATTTTCGACCTGGATATGCATTTTTATTTTTTTCTCCTTTGTTCAATTATTAAAAATTCTTTCAAAAGTTATATTTAGCATTTTTTCGTAACTTTTAATAATGTGAGATGATTAATTATTTAAAATAAACCATATTAAATGTACTTTAGAGGAAGACGTATATGAACATTGGGCATTTAAACCCTGTAAAGTGACATCAATGGGGATAAAACCTGATTGATATCAAAGACCACTTCATTATACAATGATGCACCGAGTTTCATAAAAAAAAAGTTGTTTTTGAGAAAATTGTACCAATATGTTTTAGCGTTGATATAAAGTGGCACTTCCGGTTGGGCGATTTTAAGGAAAAAGGTGCTGTCACATCTAAGGCATATACCTATTTTAAATATGTAATAATATCAGTTTCTTATGACTTTTCGTTTTTTGACCTAGACTGCTAACATACACACACACACAGACCATTTTTCGCGAATTGGTTATTTGGACTCGGGGAATCTCAAAATGTGTATTTCTCTCAGACTCAAGATTCAAAAATATTCACCATCGCAATAGTAAAAAGTGGTGGGGGTTACAGCTGATGAAGAATATCTAAAAATTCCATTCTACTGAATAATGGAAATCATCAATAAGGAAAATATATATTGTGAAACAGCACTCAGTGATATAATAATCAAAGGTTTTAATTCCTACTATTTTTTTAACACAGCTCTGTAATAAATGTTTTATAAGTTCGATTAAGGTTAGTTGATGTAAGCTAAATGTCAAATATAAGTCAGCTCACACTAGCACATTAATAGTAAAACTGAACATAGTTAAGGTATACAAGTATTTTAAAGGTTTTGCCACCTTCGTACTCTTTCGGATAAACTCAGATACTTTCGGCATTCCATGAACAAGTGTAACTAAAGGGATTGTGAACCATATGTATAACAATATGTATGGAACTCTCATAAACTTGTACCCATTCAGCTAACAACAAGGGGTCACTGAGTATAGGAGAACATAACTCGCGAACTGTAATCAATCTGAACCTAATCAATCTTTAATAATGTCTCACTAATCATTAATATAACTTGGGATAAGCCGAAAATATCTACTACCATTAATTCTTACAACAGATAATGAAATCGGTGGATGAATCAAACATCTTTTAATTTAAGTATGTTAATAATTATAAATGCAATAATGAACTAGGAAAATCACTTTTACCTTTGTATATAACATAAGCCCATACCACAGGCTCCAGCTAACAATGATTCTCCAGCAGGAAGATTGTTCGACATTTTAGAAAGGAACTGTTTTATGTTTTTCCTAATACATTTTTCAACATGTGCAAACAATTCATACTGCCCATCATTGATGCCAGTTGGGACAACAGCATAATCTTTATCTGAGAAGATATAGTCACTAAAAAATTAAAATATATTTATAGAAAAAAGAAATGAAATGAATGAGTGGCAAAGACTTAAAAAAATATGAAAATACCTTGCACCTGAATGACAACCAATGATTGCTAATCTGTTATCTGGTTTCATCAATAAATGGCCATTAGAGAATGCAATCACAGCTTCTAAAACCTGATGAAATCGATGCTGATGATTAGTGATTATTTTCTGACATGGGTGGACATCAAAGATGATAACTAACAAACTTCTCTCTGCACCTTAATTCAAAGCCATCAGTAAGATTGAATCTAAATAATTAATAAAAAGTGGGAAAAATTTATACCTCCATATACAGCCATTATGAACGATTTTAAAGAATAAATCTACAGCTCATTCTCGTAAAACAAATCAAGTTCTGAATAAAACTTGAGATAGATTATTCCATATTATAAACAAATTGGAGATTGTTTACACCTTCAAATAAGATTGCGAAGGTTATTACCGCTTTTCCATATAGGTATAATAGTAATGTTGTCTTCCAAAAATGAAGACAAAATTACAACCATCACGATCATGTCAAGTTAAGGAAAGAAACACACCCAAGAAGTTTAAGCAAATGAAAACGATTTCTTTGCAAATACGCGCACAATTCTCATATGTTGCCATGTAACATAATTATGTTACTGAAGGAAGCTAGTCGACTGCTCTACGTATCATGGGTGATAAATATTCAGGACGCAATAATTTTTTTAAAAAAATTAAATTTTTTATTTGTGCCTACGTTTCAACTCAAACATGTGGGTCATCATCAGGGCGTGGTTTGAGTACTGGTATGTTACGTGTAGGATGATTAAATTATAATTTTGTCGGATGGCGATGAGTTTGCTCAAATTGCATCTCAAATGTGTTTAAACATTTCACAAACTATGGGACCATCAAATATATAAATGGTTATTTCACTAAGCTGGTATTTTTGTATCTTGTTTTTGATATTTTTCAAATGCTGTCGGTATTAAGAGAAAAGAAATAAATAGTTTAGTTTAGTAGCCCAGTAACCTTGTACATCGTAAGCTACATTCAATGAGGATGAAGTTTTATTTTTATTTCCTTGTATTAGCCCAATAATCTTTTCATGAAAAGGGGGTTCTAAGGTGCTTCGAATGGGACTAGCTTTCTTTTTTTCTTTTATGAGATGTGACAGATGCAAAATCCAAGTTTTCGACCTCAGTGCACCTCGGACCACTTTTGCTATATTTTCACACTTTTTTCTGTTTTTCCCCATTTGTACCAATAAGGATCACGTTTTTGAGAAAATAATCTATACATTTTTAAATTAGATTAAATATTCTACAATTTAAAACCAAAAAAGTATTAATTGAGCAAGTTTAGTAATTTTTGAGATACAGGTTTTTAAACTTTAGGAGATTTTTCCTGGAAGGTGGAAATTGTAAGCTGTTTTTCATGTTTGATCACATGCAATAGTCTTTATATCTTCAATAATCTGTCATATATAATTCAGTGAAGTAATTTTTACATTAATTTTAACAGTTTGAACAAGTAATGAGGGAGGGAGGGGCGAAGCTTGGTGGAGATTACTTTTCACAACCTGAAGACTGAAATTGAAATACAAATTTTATTTAACCATCATTTACATCAAGTGAATTCAACAATTGTAAATGAAGTGAATGAAATTTTCGTAACTTGAAAATTTAAAGCTCATATATTATTTGATGTTTAGTAATTTACTTAAAGAAGAGTTTTGTTTTATTTTAGGTATGAAGCATGAAAATGTTTCTCTTGCATATATGTCAATTTATTCATCTGTCCAACGTTTCGGACTATATGTCCATGTTCAGAGACATTTCTTTTCACTTCTTAATGTTTTCCTTTGTCTCCTGTTCTTCTAATGCATGTTATTAACATTTGTCTTCTTTTTTGTGTTCTATTTAACAATTTTACATCAAACTTAGTCAATTTTCTTCATCAGATGAATAAATTGAAATATAGGAAATACGTAATTTTAATGTTTATGTCTTCAATATATTGAAGATTATTATCTGCCTTATAAGAGTTAGTAAAGTTAACATCTATTTAATTTATTATTTCGACGGAGTAGGATACATGGATATAAACTATAAGAGACAGAAACTCTATGTTGATTTAGATAATATTAGAATATTATAAGCTAATTTATAAAATAAGTGAGCTAGATTGATCTGAGTCATTTATTACGATCGATCATCTTCCTAGTAACCAGCAGCTAGCAAAAAAAAAAGGCTCCAAATCTCTCCTCGATATTTCTTTTTTTATTATTTCTTAATGATATTTATAACTGTATTAAAGAAATACATTTAGTAAATTTGAATATATGGATATAATGACGTGAAAACACTTGTTGAGTAACTACCCAATGGTAGCACTCTAATGATATGTCTACATTAGGAAATCACGGGGCCATCTTCTTTTCAGACGCCTCAGAGGGTTATCAGGAATTGAAGAGGAAGCAAGCTTACAAACGAGAGGGTTGGGATGATTCTGAAGTTTATTATGGAAGGATAGGTATCTGGATTGGGCCAGATCTGAGACATAAGAAACATTAAGGTCATTGTGGATGGCTTTATTTGTAGCAAAGTAGAGAGCATTGAGGATTTTGGATTGGATACGAGAGGAAGTCTATGGTTTAGTGGAGCCCCATAGCTCAACTCCGTAAGTCCAAATAGGCCTTATTATAGTCATGTATATGAGTCTTTTATAATTAATTGGGAGTTTAGAGCGTTGGTCTAGTAAGTACTGAAGTAATCGGAAACGTCAAGCGGTTTCTTGTCGTTTCAGTCTGGTCGACTTAAAAATTTAATTTCAGAAAGCAGTGTTAGATGTTGGGACAAAACATAGCAAAAAATATAAATATATAAAAAAGTGAAGAAGAAAAACCCGATAGAAAAGAGAACTCTGCGATCGTTGTTGAGAAAATCCAAAATCATTGAAAATACAACAAGAAACTGATGGAAACATTATTTGGTGGAACAAATATGTAACATACAGATGAAGAGTTATAGTAGCACTACAACTATGCCATTTATGATAACCAAATGAGGTGACGGAGGAAGACTTTTAAGTGCATTTTGTAAAGAACCGTTTCGAATATGTTAAAAATCAATCAGTGATGTAGAAAGACAAATCTATTCTCTAGATGTTTTACTTCAAGTTGTTTTTCGTCATTTTTGGCCTGATTACAAATGACACTTGTTTTTCAACTTTAGCTTGAACGACTTGAAAAAAATTGACTTTACTAGCGTTTTATTGTTCTCAGACGATCCAGCTTTAATAAAAGACCAATTTTGACGAAATCAAGCCAACTGCTTCTGACTCGTCAGAATCTTCAATCCGCAGTAATTGGGACAGTGAGGCCACTACACTAATGGATCCATGATTTAATTTTGGGGAGGAAGGAGGGCTTCAGCAGGTAATTATTAGGATAATTACCTCGGAAGAAATAAAGAAACTAAGTACCTTGATGAAATGGTTTTAAGTGATTCTTCAAGTACTAATTAAATGTAATTAGACGAACAATTATACTTTTACCGATATTGTTTTAATAAAAGATGGTTATACTTTACCATTTTGGGAGGGAATTCAGGCCTTATGTAATCCTCTGCTGAAAGACAATTTCATATAATCAAACATGAAAAATAGCTTGAAATTTTCAAATTCAAATAATTTCTAAAACTTTGAAAACCTGTACCTCAAAAATGATAAAAATTAGGGAACCTGTTGTGGTATTAAATTGTAGCATATTTAATCTAATTTAAAAATCTATTGAACGTTTTTTGTCGAAATAATAGCAGTTTTGGGAATTTTCAAAAGTGATCTGGGTGGAGAGAGAGGAAAGAAGCACCATGTTCAAATGGATAATTCATGCATTTCAACAGGCATCAATTCTACAGGAGGGGGGAGGGGGAGGAGGAAAAAGGGCTTACTTAAACACCATTCCATATAGGTAATTAATTTTTTTATTTTTTTTTCAAATTAATTATCGTTATATGTATATGAAAAAAAAGGATTTTGTAAGCAGGGAAAAATTTTAATAGGAGTGATAACAATTATCAAGAGCTACAAAAAAGTTCATATCAATAATGGGCCAATTTCCAGCAGAAAGTTAGGAAATCCAAGTTTTGATGTTTCTTAAGAAAGTCATGTTTTTGTCGCCTCAAAAATCTTTAAGGCGCAACTTGCCCCTTTCTGGGTTCCCTGTGCTGCGCTGTAAACTAAACAAAAATTTATTTTAAATGAAAATAGTATTTGTCATTGTTAAAACCATTTAAGGACTGTTGAGCAGCTAAACTACATTAAATTCTGTTTTTAAAAAATCATAAATGATTTGTCATAATCTAATTATACTATAGATAACCCACTTTTAGAAAAACTTTTGGTCCATATTAATTAAGTTGAAATTTATTAGAAATATATTTTTATAAATATATTAGGAAAACTTTTTAGATTAATAATAAGATGTGTAAATAAATTATAAAGGAAGGAGATGGTCCGGGGTAGCGGTCATAAGTAGGCTAAATACTGGTAAATCTATTTTTATCAAAAGCCAACGTTTCGACCCGAATTTGCAGGTCTTCTTCAGGGAGGTGTGTTCAGCTAGGAGTTTCACTTAGAACTTTAGAACTGAAAGTAAAGTAAAACTCCTCTAAGTGAAAAGTTCTAAGTGAAACTCCTAGCTGAACACACCTCCCTGAAGAAGACCTGCAAAGTCAGGTCGAAACGTTGGCTTTTAATAAAAATAGTTTTACCAATATTTAGCCTATTTATGACTGCCACCCTGGACCATCTTCCTTTATAATGCAACGGACAACTATTAAATATTCAGTAGATAAATTATGTGATTTTCTAGTAAATTCTATTTAGTACACCTATGTTTTCAGCAAAAATGGCTGCAATTTACTGTTGGAAAGATTTTATTTCTTGTTTTTCCGTGATATGCTTTGTATTGTAATAAACTGAAGTGTCTAAAAACACATTTTATTTATAAAAATAAAAAATTTAAAAATAATGATTCGTAAAGTGATTATGGAACTGTTTTTTCTGCTGAAAATTGGGCAATTGTTTATATGAACTTTCTTGTAGATCTTGATATCTACTATCAACCTTTTAAATATTTTTTGTGTACTAGCTTTTAAGACTATAGCACATATGATAATAGAAAGATAACTTTTATCTAATCAGAATGGACTAAAATATTCTGGGACGAAGTCCTTTTAGTATAACAAAATTTTACAAAAAAACGAAAGAAAAAACAGTTCTGGCCAAAAGACTAAATGAAATAAGATTAAAAAGAAAACATTAAATAATATAGCAATATACATAACAAATGAAACTTCCCATTGCAATATCATAATAGAAAAAATCACAGCTCAGAAAGGAAAAAAAAATAAGATTCTGATAACTGAGTACCTACTTAAGTCTCTAATAATGAAAAAAAAAAAAAAAAAAACTTCAGTAAATTAACAATATATATGAAACAAAGCAAATGAAACTATGTGCAAAATACTTAAAACTATATGCAAAACAAATGAGAAATGATACAAAATATCTTATAAGAGAAAAAAAAAAATTAAAATTCTCTAATTGATGAGTTTCAAGTCTACGATAATTGAAGAAAAAAAAAACACTTCAGTAAAGT